CATACTGATCTTCTTCTTCCATCCTTTATCTATCATTTGTGTATAATTAGAATCGAATATATTCATTTTTTGTTATTAAAAATAAAGAAATACGAAAGTGCTGAAAATTGAGTAATATGCCACCATGCGGGTAATATGCCACATACAAAAAAATACAATATATTCAATGTATAATGTATATAATATAAACAAATTAGGTCAAAACGTAGTTCAATATTAAAACAACAAGAATTGGATAAAAGGCATACAACTACGAACGCAAGATATTAGTCGCGAATAAATATATATTTAATGATTAAAAATACATATAGACGTTTCGGTCTCAATTAGACCATCCTCAGTAATACAAAAATAACCTCAAATGAGAATATAGATAATTATAAAAATCCGCAAGAATTAAAAGTCAATAAATATATAAAAACTAATGTAATATAAAATTTATTACAATAAGACGTTTCGGTCTAAATTAGACCATCTTCAGTTAACATTCATAAACGATGTAAGTAGAATTAAACGAAAATTAGTATGACGCTAGTGTTTTTTACAAGTCATTATAGTTATTAGAATTATACAAAATTTTGTTCATATAATGATCCGTTCCTTCTCAGTTTAACGATTATTCTTCGATAACAATTTTCCTTCGTGTATGTCAAAACGTAATTTAATTACAGAAAAAATCCATCCAAATACTTGAACAATTCAGCGATGTACGATATTGAACACAAGATTCCCCAATTCTGTTATATATCAAAATAACTATCGTCAATTAATTAAAATTTATTTGTATAAAAACCGTTAATTCGATATAATTTCGTGGTGTAACAATTATTTTAATATTATTTACCTGTGTTAACAATATTTCGCAGCACGTACAGGATTTGGAATTTTAGATATAAAAACCTTCTGAGTTATAATTGAAATGCGGAGTTCTATACCTAAGTCAACCTATTTATACCAATCTATGTGGCGCTGCTAGTTGTTTTAAAATCATACATTAGTTGAAGAATTTAATAGAGATAAATATATTTCAGGAAATTTTTTTTTCTTGTCTGGGGAATCTTGTGTTCAATATCGTACATCGCTGAATTGTTCAAGTATTTGGATGGATTTTTTCTGTAATTAAATTACGTTTTGACATACACGAAGGAAAATTGTTATCGAAGAATAATCGTTAAACTGAGAAGGAACGGATCATTGTATGAACAAAATTTTGTATAATTCTAATAACTATAATGACTTGTAAAAAACATTAGCGTCATACTAATTTTCGTTTAATTCTACTTACATCGTTTATGAATGTTAATTGAAGATGGTCTAATTTAGGCCGAAACGTCTTATTGTAATAAATTTTATATAATATATCATTTTCGCTGACGATAATTGGCGTAGTGATTCAATGCCTTTGATTTTGTATTGTTTTTAATATTAACCACGTCTCGACTTATTTATATATAGTTGTGCTCGATAAACGACTTCGTCATCGTTTATCTATTTTTGGTACGCAATTCTATTCGTAGGTCAAGTTTAACGTTTCACCAAGTCGTTTCATAACGGTGCAACGGCTCAATGCGATTCGCAATGTCGCATTGCCTGACATCCGAATTACAGTCATGAGATATTTAGAAAAGAATCGCGGATCATGACAGAATTCTTGAGGTGGCCTGATAGCATTTTAAATTTAATTTTGTGTTTGCATCTTGTATTTCTGTACTTCCTTCTTCGAATAAATTTAAATGCTACATTACGAAATATCGAAGAAACGCAGATAAGATGTATAACTATATAAAGGTTCTCGATACGTTCAAGTTTTTCTATCTCGTATATCTAGCGCAGAATTTTTATTTCATAAAATATCAGTTCGTGACATTCTGTCACATTCGTTTACCGCTCTTTACACATTTAGTATAGCGTGCCAATTTTTTGTCTTCCCCTTTTCCTTGGACCCACGCACGTGCCGCGGTCTGTTTATTGCGGATTGCATTAATCTTTTTGGTTTATTTCGCAAATGTGTTGCCGCGTTTTTGAAACTGGTCCAAATTTAAATCTTGACGTTAGGTCACGGTCGTGCTATTTTTAACGCTGGCACGCCTATTCTACGATATAATCGACTAACTGCTTAAATATTTTTTTATCACGAATAAAACGAAACAAAATTTTTCTCAATATCGCAAATAAAGCTTTATCGTTCGATTGCTATCTGTACAAGCTTGTATGTACAAGATGTGTACATAACTATAGCGTCTTTATGAAAAAACTTAACACATGCACTTGATTAGAGTACAGCTTTCACAAATATGGCATAACAAGGAGTCATTATGCAAGAGAAACAGATCTGTGTGCGAGTAAGCGAATTTTATGACAGAGCAGCAAATGTATTCGTCGCTGTAAATGGCGATATAGAAAATCCATTCGCGGCACGTCATAATGTGAATCATTTTCTTTTATCACTATAATTACCTGTTGTTCCGTTTTATCTGTTCCAAAGGAATCTTTTTATTAGTAGGCAGTATTATCACGCAGCGCTTAGAATTGCACGTCCGTGTTAAACGAAAGAAATAAAAGTCACATTTAGAGAATTGAAATTATAGATTTTTTACAACCTAAATTTATAAATGCTACTTTAATTTAAGTATTTCTAAAAAGTATCTGTCGTATTTTATTTATAATGCTCACATACCGCATTTTTATTTTATTTACAATTATTTAATTATAAACAATTATATATATATATATATATATATATCCTTGCATTATATCGTATTACATTGCATCTCATTTCTTCATTAGTTGACCTTTTCGTTCATTCGGAATACACTTTCTTTTCATAAGGGAAACATGCTGAAGTCTTACCCCGCGCGATATCCTACTAGCGGAGCTAGAAATGGTACTCGAGTGATTCGTTTGACGATGGATCAGGAAGCAGTTCTTCAAGAGCAGTTTAACAGATGGCCAAGAGCACCTCATACTGCGGACATTGTACTCCTCGCAGCTGAAACAGGTCTTTCCGAGGCGGACGTTGTAGTAAGTAAACACATATCAATTACATACTATAATTATATTAGGAATAAGTGTAAGAGGTATTTGAATAAAACGAATCAGGCGAGTAAGGTACATTGATAAAGATACGTTGCAACCCTTGGCTTTTGTTCTAGGGATGGTACGCTATCAGATTGGCTCAGTGGCGGAAAGAACAGGGTCTCGGCGGGAATCTGGGTATACACTGATAATCGTACGAGAGCGCTCGCTATGTGCGCTAAACTCTCGTCTCACTTTTGTACCTGAAATTCTTATACGTATACGGACAGATGTAATGGATCGATAGCAAATTATGAGCAATGTACTACTTTCCTTTAAACTCGCTGGTCTTGTGTCCGTATTCATAGTCAGGCCTTACATTTAAGGTTTCCTTAAATTTATCTTTAGATGCTCAGTAGCCAATAAAATAATTCGTAGAGCATCTGAAGATAATATTTAAGGAAGCCTTAAATATAAGGCCTGACTTTGAATACGGGTATTATTCTAAATTTCATTGTATTCATAGTTTTATTATTTATTGTAAATGTGTAACAGAAAAAAAGGCGTTTGCGTAGAAAATATATTACTAATTATACAAACGCGTAACATATTTATACATAATATTCTAGACGTTGAAAATAATTGCAAATTTTCAACATTTTGTAAGCAAAGAAAAATTACTACAAACGATCATAAGATTGTAAAAATGCTTTTCTTGACTAATATATACTCTTAACATGTAATTTAGTTATTAAATTTGATGAAATAACAATTACTCGAAAATAATTAAACAAGCCAATTTAATTGAAATATTAAATCCAATTACTCTCTCTTACTTATACTTACACATCCATGCTGTAATTATGAAATAAATGGGTGGGAAAAATGAAGCTGTGTGTATGTGTGTGAGAGAGAAAGGGAGAGGGAGGGTGGAGAAGAAATTTCTAAAATCTTGAAAGTAAAATGGGTAGCACCGTTTACATTAAAGGAAATTGGAGGTTATTATACCAATGGCCAGTCTATGTACAGAAATGTTTTATTCTTAAATTATGCACAAATTGCAATCAATACAAATGTATCTGAAACAAGCAAGTTGGGGGATATCTCAGTTTTTTTGGCTGTCATAAGAATATTCAGATAAAATGACAGCTGTTTTGTTAGGTGTCGATATATTGCATCAACCGCCATGTGTTTTTGCAAAATTCATGAGACACGTCCGATTAGTTGTTGTCATATCCGGAAGAAGAAACAACTGTTTTAAATTGATAACTGATTTTTAATAATGTTGATAATCAATTTAAAACAATTGATCATATCTATTTTATAGCTTAGTATAGTAAAGCTAGTTTATTTGTTCAGACATCCACATTTCGACTAAGTAGTATTATAGTAATAAAGGTATGCGCTAAGTCTGCACTTTAGCTAGATATCATAAAACATGTATCATTCCTTCTCTGGCACATCATACATTGGTATTACTAAGTATACGTTTACTTTCTTTTTAAATCATGCGAAACAATGCAGAAACAAACTCGATATCGAATTCTAAAGTTTGATATAGTATGCTTAGACTGTAGTAAAAGTAAAAAAAAAAAATTAAAAGAAAAAAGAGAGAAAAGAGAAAGAAAAGACTAAATTACGTGAAAAGTGTATTCGGAAATAAAAACCGACTCCTTGTGCACATCTGATTGTGTTAGATTCGAATAAGTCATTTTTGCAATCATCATGATACTATTAATCAACACTCAGCTTTGAAACGTAAAAATCTAGTGTTGTTAAATAACTCTACTAATAATCGTAAATCAAAAACTCAATTTCCTCAAGTAAATAGAAAGGAACATCATTGGGAACACCTTTGAACCAGAATTTCTTAGAGCTGCCGCCTACCATTGTTATAATTAACAACGGAAATCCATACACATTTTCCTGGTATCGCGTCGAGTTGCATCTTAGTTATGTCGCATTCGTTTCAGTTTTCATAATTATCTCCGATATATAGCGTATCAGAATAACGAGATTACGTCGATATAAAGTAATAAAATATCAAAGCAACTAGATACATCTTTACGTTAATACGGAACATTTATGAAAAGTACGTAGAATAATTTGCTGCCATTTAATTTGGTTATTATAAGCTAAACTAAATAAATTCGATATCACGGAATGATATCGGGAGCACACTGCAAATATTGTATTATATGTAAGTACTGAGCGACATATCTAGATGAAAACTTATCCAGAGCGATAATTGACGTACGAGCCGCGATTATCCAGCCTAATATTGGATCGTTAAACGTTAACGAGTGACCAAGGTGTACCGTACGGTACATCCGAAGCACTGCCACATAAGTTAGGAGCTTGGTATAAAAATGAGGCACAGTTTCACAATCAGGGAATCCTTCTTACCAAATGCTATCCTCTATCTCCCAATGAATGTATCCGTATATCAAACATGACAGTGTAATTACCATCATTAAACTAAACCATGCATGGATATTAATATGTGTCCTTAAATGTGTTTAAGGAGAATGACGATTTCTTAAACAACTGTCGTATTCTTATCGGTAGCAAACAGTCTTAACAACGAGCGTAGACTAATCATGTCGCGTTCCATAATCGTGTAGTCCTTGCGTCAGTATGCGTCATGTTACGTGCTGGGAGTTAATAGCTCTCATCAGGTGTAACGTAGCAACGTTAGTAGCAATTGGCGCAACGGTTGCTTAGCCACTGGTACCATTAACCAGAGCTTCTTTAGGCTTATTGCTCTGCTGCATACGAGGAGGACGAGACCGATGTTCTCTTTGGCCTTTAGGTCCTTGCGAACTGTTGTTAGACATGGATACGTCGTTCGCGGGTGTTCCTTCCTTGCTATTCATTGTTGATTGGTCGCACGGGCCGGCATTACTGCCTAAACAAATTTATAGATTAACTCTGAATGTTTTCGTATGTACAAGTGTGCGCGTCAGCTTATTGATCGAGCACTGGAAAATGGATATAATCTGCTTCTTTGTACAACCGATCGTCCTAAAGAGATGCTCACGCGAGCTTGATACTAGAGGATAGGCCTACCTGTCTGACTAGCACTCATTGGCGTTGAACTTCGTTGCCGCGAACGCCGAAGTCGTCTTCGTCTTATTCCTTTAGCTCCTCCCTCCACACTCGATACTGACTCTATACATACACAAACCATTGTGACCATCTCTGTCTCGAACTCGCAATTAACATTTAAAGATAAACTTAATCATAGATAGCGAAAGCTGCACTGCATACGTTAGTAGCATGCAATAGAATATATATTTATATCGATTTGATGATAACATTAGTGTTAGATGGTCACAAGAGTTTGCTCCGCATTTCATGCCAATCTTAAAGCATTCTGATACGCGTCACACGTTGCTTTGTCTTTAGGACGAAACGGTTAGAATTGTCATCAACATGTATGCGTCTATTCTTCATTCGCTTGCTTTCTCTCTTGTCACACAACATACGCGCGCGCGCGCGCACGCACGCACGTTACCAATAAATATTACCTCTATCGATGCTTGAAACGTCTTGGCTGTCTAAAACAGTGTCTTCATCATCGGTAGTACGACGACGTTCGTCTCTACGATCTCTACGTTGGGTTGGAGGACGACCTTGTCTACCACTCATGTACCCTGAATTACCGGCTCCCTGATGACCACCTCTTGGCGGTAAATCCCGAACACGATCCTCACTGCCGTCCAAAGTATCTCTACGTAATCCTGAAGAATGCCCGGTTAATTGTTAGATTTCTAGTTCATATAGACAATTATAATATTTCACTTGCATTTCATACCGCCTATTGACTAATTTGTTAAATATTATACCTTACACCAAAAAAAGTCATAATTAAATTGAAACAAACAACACATCATAATTTTCTCGCAAAACCTTTATAAAATGTAATATTACATTACAAATTATCAAGTTTACATTTTAATATTTTGATAATTAAAATTCGATGCTGTCTGTAGTATAAAATTACCGGCATTGTGTCTGGTAGGGGCTCTACCCCGAGATCCGCGCCCTCGAGACTGACCACCGCGACCTCCACGACCACTGATACCCTCTTCAGGTCCTGCAACCATTCCTCGTCTTGTGGGAGGAAAGCTGGGCATCGGTCCTGTAGTCGATCCGTGCATGCTTCGTAGTTGTTGATCAATTTCTAACTTTTCTTGTCGCAGTTGTTCTACTTCCTACATAAATTATACAAGGTGATCAAATCCCACGATCAAACTCGCAATTTATTTTACGATTCCTTTTTGGGATATCGGTTTTATATAAAATATTTCAGAGAGGGTCAGTGCATTGATATACAGTTACCTTTAAATGTGCCAAATGGTATTCCAACAGAACTTTGGCATTGGCGATGCTTTCGACAGTACCAACAAAGACAAAGGGCACCTGACCCTCCTCTCGTGGAATCGTTGGTTGAGGTTCGTTGTCTCCTTCTATTTTTACTCTTACCTGCAATACGTAGTTATTAAAATTGCGCTATTTACGCACTTAATGATACGGATTATTAGTATGAGACGCTTAAAATCGTATTTCACATCCATACCATCAGTTTTCAGTCACTGGCGTTTGTCATTTCCATCAATAGACTTGTCGATCAGTCTGCGAAAATTTGCTTAAATATTCTTTACACCCTTTATACTCCCAAAAATACTTGTTTTCAATAAAAGAAAATAATTTCTCGATATTTTTTTACCTTTTCTCAAACATCATCTTTTAGGTAATATGTATCGTCTCACAATCACTATATATCATATCATATCAAACACGTGGTAATTATATCGTGTATTTATAATCACAGTTTTTTTTCCTTTAGATATAATTGTAAATAAATTTAGAGATTTTTATTATTTCATTTTCTTTTTTCTTAAATAATTTCAGCCTATTTATACATCATTGAAAAAATAATCTTTTGTTCTACAATTTAATAGTTACAATATATCTTGTACATGAAAAACTAATTAATAGGAGATTTATAATCTCTGTAGAAAACAAAAAAGAAAATAAAGAAAAAAATATTCGTATGTATACGTACATTAAATCTATCTGATTCCCCATGCATGATATACATATTCAATATGCTATTTTGCAATAAAAAGTTTTCATCGCACAAAATATTCTTGTTACTTATGATAGAAATGTTATGTCGTATATCTCCAATTATTAACAAGTTTTCCATAAATCAGATTGTAAAAGCATATTCTGAAATGATATTCGTTTTAAAATATAATTGACGACAAAAAACGAATGCATGGACATGGAACGACTTATGCATCTAGTTACTATTTGCGATGCACATGTGCATTAAAAGGTCCATATACACAATGCACACTTAGCATCAAATGCGACCATGTGATTATCAGTCCATGATAACACTGAATACAACTCTGATATTTGATATCAGATAAATAGCGCATTCAGAATGAGAGACAGTCACATTTAGTGCTAAATGTGAAATATGAATACAGGCCTGATTATACAAAATATAGTTATTTTTTTTAATACGATTTAAAGGAACTGGCCCGAGTGGTTCATGTAAGATTTGCGAGTCTTTCCATATGAATATATATATATATATATATATGAATGATTGACTAAACTTTGATGGAATAAAATCACAAACAATAGGAAATGACATACTTACTTTATCAATATGTATATTCCCACTCGAGCCAGTTGTTATCTACCGAGAACAGACAAGGCATATGTCATATATAACCTAATCCCTCGTAAATTATAACTTCCATTTTCAATTGAATGCTATATTTTAAATTTTGATTACAGAGTCTTTAATCATGAACATCATTAACGATTTGAGAGTCTGCGTATGTTGCAAAAAAGAGGTTATAATAATCGTTATACTTAAAACGCGTGTTGGTAATTTCAGACGATTGCTACATACCCTGAGAGATAAACATATATCAGTAGATGTAGACGATCTGTAAAGTATTATATGTAATCTAGGTACTATAAATTTGGGACAATTTTAACAAAATCATACTGTATCAACTGAAAATGAAAATTGATATACTTATATAATAATGTAATGATATTCTTAAACATCATTACTTAAGAAAAGACAGTCCCTACCTGAGAGATCTTAATTCTGAAAGTAATATCTATAAAAATATAGACATGTTAAGTTCTATTCAATAATGATAAAAATATACTTACTACACCACTCTTGTCGACAATTTCTTGGATAATGCGACCATTCTTCCCAATTACTTTTCCTACCAACACCCGTGGGACTTGTATAGATTCCTCGCTATATTCCAGCATAGATCGAGCTTTTTTAACAGCTTCATGCGTCTGTGATTAAGAAACATAAATATAAACTTTATATATCAACTCAATAGAATATATATAGATTTGTATACATTTTACAATCGAAGAATAGACTTTCAAAATGCGTTTTATCCAAAATTTATAATTTTCAGAAAAACGAGAAAGAAAACCACAAGAAAACTGCGCGCAGAAAATAACAATGTGTCAATCAGTAAAATGTAAAATGTTCAACAAAATTGCTAAACACTTGTTAAAAATGTTAAACAAATACATTTTGTTTGTCTTTAGTTAAAGGATATAATGCACTTTGAATGTTAAGATTATTTTTAGCACATAAATTGGTGTAGAAATGCTTTCAGAACATCGTAGAGTAGCTTAAAATATTAGTCTTTTAACACTGAACACTATGCCATCTGTAATTCAAAAAATGAAATTTTCGATAAAATGCATTTTGGAAAAGAGTCCGCTCTTCAATTAGATAAAAACAATCTGAGTAAATCTTTATAACACATTTTTAGAAATATATATATATATATACAAGCAGTACAATAATTTTTGTTATTACCTCTCCATATATCTTAAATGTGCATGAATTTTCTTCTAACTCTATATTTGTAATGCCATCAACTTTTCGCGCTTGTTGAATATTTGCACCATGAGCACCAATAGCTAGTCCCATCAGATCTTCTCGAACATTAAATTCGTCGGTATATCTAAAAAAAAAAAGGTAAAATAATGTAAATTTCATATTTCAAGTTCTTTATACACAATCTTGTTTGAAATAAAGTTTCTAAGAATTTAAATAAATTAAAATTAAGAAAAAGATTATCAAACTTTGCATCTTTTTCCCCTCTCCTCCAACCCTCCCTCTCTCTCTCTCTGTGTGTGTGTGTGTGTGTGTGCGCGCGCGCGCGCGCATACAAACACACACACGCACACACACAATTTTCCAATAATAGTTTAGAATTATACGAGATATTTTAATAAATGTAATTATCTATTTTATATTATACTCTTTATTGTAACATGCCATAAATTTATTAATATTATGAAGGAATAAAATTTTTGTCAATGGCTTGCATTTTGGCAGATACAAATTAATTATATAAAGCTGGCTATACTTTAAAAAATGGCAATTTTACATTTACATCTGATAAATTTTCAACTAATGTAATATATGTAATATATGTAATGCCATGCAATATATGTAAATATATACACTTAGGAACAAGTTCAAATATTTTTTTAATGCTGTCATGTTACAATCAAAACACTCTGATTAAAAATATTGCAAAATATAATATTAACTTTTACGTCACATGCAGTCTTTAATTATAGTTATTTAAAATTATGTAACACTTTCTACAATATGTTTTTATATATTATATACATGTTCGTACATATATATATGTAAAAATACACAACACACACACACAAACACACTGCCACACGGGTATTCTAATGTTCATTTTATAAATAGACAAAATGGCAAAAAATTCTGAAATTATATTTTATTTATAATAAAGTAATCGTATATTATAATATAATACAAATTCATCTTCTTAAGAAAGGAAGACAAGGAAAACGAAAAAAAAGTGTGAAAGGGGACTATTGTACGTTATTAGCGGTCAAATTATATAAAAAAAAAAAAGTAAAATTATATTATTGAATATATTATATGCCGAATAAAGTATTTCAAAACATATTAATATTACCTACGAATAAAATGCATATTCTTTTAATTGATACTTAATTGCTTTTTCACTTTGTAAGAATATATGGGATAGAGCCACCATTTATGTATGTGCAAGATATGGGATATATCAGTGTTTCTCAAACGTTGGCAGGCTAAGATCCGGCGTTCTTTAGAATAGATAAATAATAAGATTAAGAACCTACGTAATGAGTAAATAACAGAAAATGTGAAATCGGGAACCGATCACAGCTACACGTATATATTGTTGGCTACCTCACCAATTACGCAAAATTTGACTACACAGCACATAATGGAGAAAGATATAAATAATTGTTTTATATCAGTGAACTTGAAGCACATGGATTTCCGTGAATATACTACACAACGCTGAAGCATGCACGTTTAAAGTGTAAATTCATTTCCGTTCGAAAAATAATTGTGTATTTTGTCATACAGTAAGCTAAACTTAATTCTAAACCACGCTGCTGTGATCTCACCTTGAATTTGTTTTCACTCCTGCCTCAAAGTCTGAGACACGCTGATATATAAAGTTTGAAGATCTAAATTTGCTGAAATGAGAATGGTGTAACTCAGTGAAAACTCATTATCAGATGGCCCTATCCTATGTCCCTGCCATTCTGTCTGTTTGCTCTTGATTAATGCATGCAGACACTTGCGTATAAAGTTTGTCTTTCAACTTTATTTGCCCAAACATTTATGTGAAATCTCATCGCGAATCCTTTTTTATACATATGCATACGCATATACACCCACACTCACACTAACACATATATTCATTATGTGCGTGCTCGCACGCACGTACGCATGCACGTATACGCTTTATTAAGATACATACCGAATAAGATTGTTATTGAGTTACGATACTTTAATGTTTAATATGTAGAGTATCATATTTATATCAGTATTTTTCCCAACAATTAAGTTTACTGAATGTGTGTGTGTGTGTGTGTGTGTGTGTGTGTGTGTGTGTGTGTGTGTGTGTGTGTGTGTGTGTGTGTGTGTGTGTGTGTGTGTGTGTGTGTGTACATACAAAGTATACACATACACGTTATAATAGTAATGTTATAAAATATAGTGAATGAGTGTATGTGCGAATGTCTATCTATACAATATTTTGGATATAAATTTTTCAGTGAATTTTATGTTCTAAAATATTTCTATAAATCTACAATACTTTTGTACATTACAATTGTTTATTTACTTTCCTGTGATTTTACATGATATCTTTACATATTTTAAGTAAAATGTTTATATTTCATATGTTAATAATTTTTTTCTTTATCTTGAGATGCATGTTTATTCTATTTCTGTTATGTGTTAAGACGACAAGTTATACTAAAGTAATAAAAGATCAAAGGCAGCTTAAATTCTAGAAGTGAACAGAATATTTATATAGTTTTATCATACATAATACATTTTGATACATTCTAACTGAAAGAATTTATCAGTTATTATGGAATACTTTGCAAACTTAAGATAGCATTTCCGCTTTAATATAAATGTTGTAATAAAACAATCAGTAACGAATGTGTCTGCAATGCATATGATCATGCTTAGAATCTAATATTATTTTAAAACGAAAGGTATCTGCTATTATGGAAAGGTTGAATGAATCGTAGTGCACATGATACTTTTTCTTACTTGCACCTATTCTGTTATAATAGAAGAGAAATTTGAACAAACAGTTATATAAAATTAAAAAAATATGAAATTTGTTGAATAATCTATCTATAATATTGTAAATTTGTGACAGAGATAAAAGAAAAAAAAGGAAGAAAATCAAAGATAAACGATAAACACTACTTATGATGTGCCTGTGTAATTGCATACATGAGATTATGTGATACTAAAGCGCACATATCAATTGATGATTAGAAATCTTGTGATCTGATTTTCTGCCAGTAAATGCAAACCACAGACAGGATGGTAACCAGGACAGTACATGGACAAGAGCAGGTAAACAATCTCACAAGATTTTTTTTATTATTTACAAAAACTAAAAAAATGTTAATAACTTACCCCCCTATTGTTTGAAGCTTAGTGGACTCAAGTTGACGTGCTGCTTCTTCCGTTCTCTTTAATAGCAAAACCTGTGAAATATTAATAAAAAGAAACGTATAATTAAATATTTTTATAGAGATACTTGAGCTATCGTATAGATGATAAGAATTAAAAAAGAATATTGCAAGAATATTGCTTCCAACGTTTAAAAAAAGAATTTCCAACAATTTGTTAAATAGTCTATACATATACCATACATATGTGCATACTTTTAAATGTTTCTCAATAAATTATTGAAGTAACACATTTCTCCCATAAATAGCTTCTCACATAAATGACTTTATTAATAATAATATAAAAAAATTTACCTTTTGCGATAAGTTTCTAAAGTGCATTTCTTGGAGCATGCTACTGTGACGATGTATATTTTCATGACGGGAGATGGCCAGCAGTACTCCTCGTTCAGGCACATATCGGCACACTGCCGCCCCTATCGCCTTTTGAAATTCTTTATGTGCATTGTCCATCTTCGCACTGCAATATAACATTCTTAACTTAATTACTTCTTAACACTATCTAAAGCAAATTTTGAGTAAAATGTTATATATCCCTATATCTATAGGGATATATAACATTTTATATGTAGATACAAAAGTAAATATAGATACTTATATGCAACAAATTACTATTTACTACTTTTTTTCTTTTTTCAGAAACACTTTTACTTACAATTCTCTGAGCTCTTCAGGTACTTCAATTTCGATCTTGTGAAATGTGTTTTTGTCAATAGGGGGATTTGGATTTTTGGCTCTCAGTCGCTCACTAGCTACAATTTCAGTATATGTGTATTCCCATCCCAAGTATTCGACTACTTGAAAACCTCCTTTACTCATCTAAGAAAAATCATATAAAAGATAAAAAAAGATCATTAAAAAATAAAGGTTTGATTTCTATTGGAGAGGAAGAAAAGATAATCTAATAATGCTAATTTGTGTTTTTAGCAATTGCATTACATAAGCATGTATCTGATGTATCAAACTTTTCAATCAAGTATATATGCAAGGTACTAAGCCTTGTGTTCACACACAATGCTAGAAACTGCTCTGAGATTTCGGACAGACAAAGAATTAGCAAATCGCATTTGAACAATTTGGTCACATGATCAATGCGATTGGTTAATTCTTTCTTCATCCGAGATCTCGGACCAATTTCTAGAACTGTGGGCTTTAATAATTAGCATGAGCACTATATCTACATATTTGTCGAAGTATTATGTTGCTTACCTTAATAAGTGCTTTCCACCAACCCCATGCTTCTTGATCGTTAGATCTAGAGAATACTTCGATCTCCTGGTTCTCCTGAAATTCTGTTTTGGAACCATCTTTTGGAGGTAGACGGACTTGAGCAAATGGGAATTTCGATTCGGGTTGCCAGCTGAAATGCGCATTATGTTCGGTTAGATCGAGTTATACAATTATGTACATATACATTTCACACATAACATCTAAGTGTAACAAAAGAAAACAAAATTTATCTAAAAGTTTTATTATAATAGTAAAATTCTCAGATAAATATTATAATTATAATAACGATGTTATATTATAAAAGCAGTAAGAAGAGTGTACATGTGTACATTTAAACATAACTTTTAAGTTATTTACTAGAATACAAAATAAAAAAATTATAGATCATTCATATGTTATATATGTCTTATCTCCATATCACTTATTTCGTTGTACATTCTGTATTAAAACATTTAACAATAAATTTTCCAACAATTTAGCCTGTTATTAAAGTTTGCCTCTTCTTTCATTTCATGTATGTCTATCTTTCCCGTTGACATATTTCGTTAATATGTAACACAAAAGAGAAAGAGAAATTATTATCTAATATTTTGTATAGTCAATGAATAATATAATTGTAAATATCAGAGATATATTATATATATGTGTATGTATGTATATATATATATATATATACATGCAATATAACAAAATACAAATATATATCGCTTTAACTCTAGATCAAGAAATATAGAATAAACCTGTAGATTTATATGAATCTTTATTATTCTACAGTGAGAAACAAGTGAGACGAGAATAAGAAGTTACGGCAAACCATAAAGATTTTTAGCATCCACAGATGTGATACATTATTGTTGTTGTACAAAACATCCTATCAAGACATTAAAAAAAATGCATGTTCTTGTCAAGCATGGTGAGTCGTGAGAAAAACTTACTCATTCTCAAAAGTTACCAAAACTTCATCGTCAAAGACATCCGTGACAAAGGCCTGAAAAAAGTTATACACGAAACATGTAATAAGTCGTCTTTGTAGGAATCAGGAGTGTAGCGAGTAGCGCAGACCAGTTGAACGTAAAATCGCGACTCGTCGGAGTGAAGGGGGAAGACGGGCGAGGTAGGAGGGTGCAGGGAGGGCGATTGTGAGCGTTTACGGGTCCGCATGTAGTAAATTTGGAATAACGTTAAATTGATGAGTTGACGATGGCACCGCGAGCGCAAATGCACAACGACGCGAGGCAAGGGAAAATCACGCCCTGTCAAACGAGACATGGCGTCGAGGGAAGCCGCGTTACCTCGCGAACATTTGAGGGCCGTGCATTCGCGAAGTACGGGCTTTTGTCCCGCGAGATTACGATCACGCCACGGCTCGTGGCTCGGCCTATCCACCGCCCAAGGCTTCCGCCCACTTTTTTGTATACTTTTCACAGAACGAACCTTATAATACGCTCCGTTTTCGCCGCATACTTCGACTGTGAGATCCTCCATCTTGCTTTTGTGTGACGGTTCGGCTCCTTTACGGCAGGCATGCCGAAGAGCGGGCGCCCGCACGAGTTCGGGGCTGTGAAATTCCTCTCTACCAATCACATGACTCTTTTCCATGACGCCGAGACAGCATTGGGCAACACCAAAATAGTATCGACAGTGGTATCAACTACTGAGCCCTACATCGACGACCCCTTTCGTACCGAGTATTTAAACCGCGTACTAACTAGTAACTTTCTATTAAATTATCTCTATTTCACCAGTGTGTTTAAAGAATGCAGGGTATCAATAATGAAACTTTATCCCTAGGATGAAAAGTGAAAAGTGAAAAATTTTTCCATTAACTTCAATGGTTAAAATTTTCACTTTTCAATTTCCATATCCTAGGGATTAAGTTTTATGATTGATATCCTGTACTAAGAGTCTCTTTCACCAACTTCGATTAATAGCGTTTTCGATTGGGGTGCACTGGCTGCACTC